CCCTAGATGAGATGATTATGGCTGAGCCCAGCTTACCCACCCCTGGTGAGGTTCAATCCAGGTGATCTACCAACCTGTAGGGACCACTAGTCACCAGAGTCTTGAGGCTCCCTGGGATGTTCTGCTATTCAGTCACCTCTATATCCCAGCATGGCAATGCCACCCACACTGCCACACATCCTACAAAGGTCCCATACGTGGGAACGTGGCATACTGTAGGGCCTGCTCAGAATGTAGCATTATGAAAGGCTCTGGCTATAAGGTGAGCACTGTGTGGAAGACTGCAGTCAAAAGGGCATCTGGTGCCTCCTGGAGAGTGAGCACATCGTAGTCTCAAGCCAAGCCTGAGAAGATAGGGAAGGGTAATAATGATTTTTTTTTTCCTCACTGGGCAGCTGGGGACACTGAGGTCAGTAGAGATCAATTAACTTGGCTGAGGCACGAGAACAGCTTTGGAACAGAAGTTGGAGAAAACCCAAGGGCCTCTCTGTTGGGTCCACTGGGTTAACTGGTGAATGGAGGAGCACTCCACAGCTGAGGACGTGCTGCAGTAGGAACCTGCACTGCTCGGCTTCCACAGTATGGGACATTTCCATGGCCTTTTGGATCACCAAACATTAAAGTAGGTGGGCCCTGAGTACATCAGAACCAGCACCCTCTCATCCACATGGCTGCAATGACGAAGGTTCTACAATCTGAGGTACAGGATCTCAGGATAAATCCTGAGGGCATTTCACTGACCTTCTCAGACCAAAAAGCTACAACTCTTGTTGCACAGGTCCTGCTTTACCTTGGTCTTAACCATCCAGTAGAAAAGTATGAAGACAAAATATAGGAAATAAAGCCATGCTGTTAAGTTGAGCTGTGGGGGACTCAGGTCAATAATTTCTGACATTGCCAGTTAAACAGAAGACCCAATGCTATTATGGGCTACTGGACTCTTTTAGAATATTTTGCTGAGTTTATACACCTATAATATTCAATAACGGAACTTAGAAAAAATGGGGTATACCTATGAATGTCCATTTTGTATCTGTGTATTCAAAGCGGTTGGGATAGATAAATAGTTGCATTCTCTTAATGAATAGAATGATTTGTTCTAATGGTGTTTGTAAATAGGATCACAAGTTTGCATCTTGTACAGCAATTAACCACTAAGAAGAATATATGCAGTGTATTATTGAAACTGTACTTCTGATTTGATTTGAAACTGTCTCATTGCCATCTGTTTATCAATAAAACTTTGAAAAAAACCCAGCACCTTTGTAAAAAGGAGTAAACTGAAACCAGAGAGATGAAGCTCCTTTGTTCTCCCATTCTCTTCCATGCCCTGTTGATGGTATCAGGTGCTAATGTAGAGATTGTCAGCTGTCTATCCAAACCCTTTTTCCCTTCTTTACCTGTATGGCTAGCCTACTTTTCTCAGGCTCCTAGGTACTGGTGAGCCATATCACCATGTTCTTTCCAGCAGAATGTTAGAGGAAATCTATTGAAGTGTCCCCTGTGTGTTCTTTTCGTCTCTAACTGATCAAACTTTCAATTCCTACAGCATCTTTGGAAATTATATATTATAGAATGACAGGGCCATCATATTGTACAACCCTAAAAGACTATTTGAAGGGCTTCCTTATTGCATGAGCGTCAGTTTGTGAGTCTGTTAAATGAACAAGAATAAATCATCATGGTGTTAAGCTGCTGCATTTGGGGTCTTATTTGTTAGCACATCCTAGCCTAAGCCCCAGTTAATATGAGTAAAGGCAGGAAAACCCTACAGAAGCTCTGGCTCCATGCAGTCCCCCAGGGGTGGAGACACTGAGTTCCCACTGATTCCATTGCCAACCATGTAGAGTACCCTCACTCCTAATTCTGGAGAGGGTAGGGATGCTGACTGTTAACTCACTTGTCTGTAGAATTTGGTCTCAGTTGGCTTTCTTTTCATTCTGCATGAAAACACTCCTAGGGTTATATGGATCTTCAAGGTCATCTGTCTCGTGTTCCTAGGTGCAGAGAAGACTTCATCCTATCCATCTGAGATGATCAGGAATCTTGTCTGGATTTTCATGTTTCCAGGAAGGAAAGAAAAACTATCAATGTCCTTCGATTCCTGTTTTGTACCTCCTTGTTCCTGTGTCAAGGATCTTTATTGAATCTTAAAGCATCAGAGCTAGAGAACCTCCTAGTAATCATTTAGGACAATCTGTGTTTTTTAAAAAGAATTTTATTTTGAGGAATAAAAACAAAAGCAAGAACAAAAATCAGAAACAAAGACAGAAACCAGGCAACACACAATAATACATATGTTACATATTTTCGGGCAAGTGCTTATTCTACTGAGCTATCTCCCCAGTCCCAGTTACAGATTTTCAAACCAAGAATAGCTGATCAACAATGGTTGATATACCCATTTTTATCATTAGGTCTGTAGCTCAGATTAACAGATATAGTTATGTACAATTAGGCATATAATTGAAAGAACAATCTGTGTTTTACAAATGAGGACACTGAAGTCCAGATCACAATTACAGCATGGTAAAGTCAGAGAAAGCTCTAAGGTCAAGCTGACGGCTCTTTCCAAGGTTCTATATTTCCTCCAGTTCTCTTGCTGAATTCTCTCACTCTGTCCTAGGAAAAGATCTTTTTGGAGGAGGAGGAGGAGGAGGAGGAGGAGGAG